GACCCAGCTGTGAGCACTGGTGGGGAGGGGGGCAGCAGGTGTCCACACTCCTGACCCAGCTGGGGGCGTGGGGGGGGGCAGGGGGAGGCAGCAGGTGTCCACACTCCTGACCCAGCTGGGGGCTGCTTTGTGCAGGGTCCCTGGTGGGAGTCGGAGATGTGATCTCTCAGCAGCTGGTGGAAAGAAGGGGCCTGAGAGGGCACAGCAGTCGAAGGACGCTGAAGATGATGGCCATTGGCTTCTGCTTTGTGGTGAGTGCCGTCCCCCAGGGCCCGCTGGGAGCAGAGCGGGGGACCCGTTGCAACAGGCTGTGCGCACGCCAGCATGCAGAGCCGGCCTGGCGCCGGGCGTGCGAGGAGCAGGCAGCGGCTGCAGAATTCTACCCCTGGGGCTGGCAGTGCCTCCCGACAGGCAGCCATGGGACTCTGCCATGCTGGGGGCGAGCCTAGGGTGGGGGACATCAGCACTCCACAGCCGCCCGCTGCCCGGGCTCTGGCCCTAGGAGCTGCTCCCAGGCCCTGCGGTCTGTGCCGCTGCAGGCCAAGTGCTGAGTGGTGCTGGAACCAGCCAGGAGCCAATTCGATTATGTGGCACTTGGCCGCTCTGCCGCTCCCATGCCCTTGTGTCGAACAACTCCTGGCTTGAGTCCTAGCGCTGAGGAGCCTGGGAGAGGGAGCGGCTCCCCGGGACAGGCCCAGCGCTCAGATCCCTGCCTGCCCCCACCAGCTGCTCCCACTCAGGCTGCAGTTCTCACTCCGGAGCTCGGCCTCTGCCCAGCCAGCGCGGGCAGACAGGGGGGTGTATCCGTGGCCTGGCGCACGGCACAGGCAGCCCTTGGAGAGCCCAGAGAAGTGACGGTGACAGCCCAGCCCAGCCTGGTCAGCCAGCGCCCAGCCCAGCTGCAGTGACCCCTGTGGTTCAAGCTCTGTCCCCCTGTCTGTCCGATCTCCTTTGTCAGACTCCCGGGCTGCCCCCGACTGCTCCCCACAGCCCACACTTAACCCCCCCC